TTTTTTACCTGTTATTTATTTACAATAGTTATGATCTGCAACAGAAGAGAAAACAAAGGCAAGTGCAGTTCTTAGTGAGGAGAGCTGCCACTAAGTAGGATGTAGCTGCACCTTCTTCCTCCTCCCTGCCAGCACAAGGTCATAGGTAGGAACTGAGGTCAAAAGCAAACACACACCTCGTGCTCCTCTTGCTGCAGAGGAGCAAAAGCCAATCTAGTCTGATTAAAAAAAAAAATAATTACAGTAGGTCTAAGGATTTATGAACAAAAATGTTGCCTACGTAATGACAAGTAAAGAAGATTTTTGAGGTGTACATGTTAAAAATATATCCTTTTAGGAGTTTGGATATGAGGCTGTTGACCTTATGTATTTGGTTCTGAGTAGGAGGAATTGCTTCTGAATTATTCATCAGGAATTTTAATGACATTTTGTTATTCTTTTTCCTATTCTTCCACATCTCTTAGTATATGAAATTTCTGGAACAACTTAATGAAATGATGAAGCTGGATAGCATTGCAGCAGAGGTTGGATTTGATATGAGTGTGAATGCAATTCTGGCTCGGGTAGAGCAATTAGTCAAACAGGAAGGTGATGCAGTGATTGAAAACAAGACTGTGACATATAGCCTAAGAAGGAAGGTAAGCAAAAAATACTATTACTTTTTGTTTTCCAGGCAAGACACTGTTATGGCTATGTTTGTGTTGGCTTGCTAGAGGCAAAAGTTTGAAGCGTCACAAATGTACATGAAATATTAAGGATGTCTATTACTTTACTTTATTAAGAGAAGATAAATATTTGCAAACTAGGCAAACGAGTTGCATATCAGAGCAACTAAAAGTGCTGCTAGTTAAATGTATGAGACTGCTTTTCTCAGCTTCTTAAACATATAATATTACGCCTTTTATATAGTATATAAAAATATACTTTTTTAATACATGATTACAATATATTTCTATAAATAACTACTGATATGTTTAAAATTAAAAATATCTAATGGAAAGATGTTGATATTTAAATCTAAAAGATCTGGTGGGAAGGAGGGAATATTACGCAACTTCTCTAGAAGCAAGTAGAACATTGTTTTGTACTTCACCAAGAACTGCAGCTTTTCCAAGAACTGTGGTCATCTTGGAACCTTGATAATCTGTGCAGATTTAATGAGACACCAGTCAGTCACCCTGCTGTGACAGAATGAAGTCTTCTAATTTTAGGCTTATAGTGGTTTGAAACTTAGTATGAGTTCTATTTAAGGTTTAAAGCACTTTTTTTTTCTTTCTTTTTTTTTTTTTTTTTTTTTTTTCTTTTTCTGGAAGTAACTACCTCTCTGAGATAACATTAACATTCCTCAGAGTACAGCCTGGCAAATTCAGTTTTGTAAGCTGAAAATAAGTCACTTCCTGAGCACCAAAATTACAAAACTAAGCTGCTGAACTTTGTTGGCATAGTGGATGAGTGCATTCTTATTTCTGTGTGATGACTCTCCTTGCACACTAGCCTTAATAAACTGGTTAAACGTGGAAATATCTTAAACTACTGCAGTGCAATCACCATCTGCCTAAGGAGAGTCTGTTGCACCTTGTGTTTGACAAGTTCCTTATATCTGGGACAATCTCTGATGCTCTGAACTACGCGTGTTTCTGTTCAAATAGCAGGTCTGTACACAAATACATTTTAAAAGGTAATGTTCAAGCTTAGGGATGAAGAAGAACAAATAACTGATAGCCTAAAAGCTACCAAGTTAATGTACATATGTACATACTGCTTTACAGAATTTTGGAGAGAGGATTAGGAGTTCAGCTTAAGCATGCTGCAATGGGATTGAATTTACACAACAACCTATGTAATACCATTTGCTTTCTTTCACACATAAATTTCCTTGTGAACATAAAACTAGTTGAAGACTCAGAAAGAAAGACTTGAAAGCAAGGAGTTGCACATGAAACTTCTGAGGCAGAAAATAACCCAGCTGGAAGAAGAGAAACAAGTAAGGACATCACTAGCTATGGAGAGGGATGAGGCCAATTTCACTGTCAGAAAGCTGCAAAAGATGATAGAGAGATTACAGAAGCAGCTTGATCTGGCAAGGGAAGCAAATACTGATCTCAAAGCCAAGCTGTCTGAAACCAATGAACTTAAGGTGAGTCAAAACATTACATTTGTGTTTCTACCCATGTTTATGTTCCAACTGGATACAGCCAGAGTTCATGTACAATAAATGCATTAATGGCGAACTGCTCAAATCCATGTAGAAAAGTATAATATTACAGTGTATTTAGCAATTTGTCTTAATACATTAAATAACAACTGAAAACACCATGTAAATGTTCAGGTTAGGTTAAGAAAATTATGATATGTGCATCCCTTTCTTTCCCATCAGCATGTATGTAATCCTATATTTCCCATGCATTGCTCACAGCAAATCTCTTCTTGTAAGTGTAGGGAGTTTTTTTTTTTTTTTTTTTTTTTTTTTTTTTTTTTTTTACTGTAAAGCAGGCATGATATATCTTCATTATTCCCATGTTTTATTACCTTGCAATAGGTGAAAACAAGTAGTTTGTGGTTGCTTGTCACCACTGGAAGTAAGGAAGGCTTTTTTTATACAACAGTGTCTTATGGCTTGTGGATTAAAACAGATGACTTTCAACTGAAGGATTTTCACCAGCCAAAATATTTGGCAACTCTTTTCCTGTATTATTTTCCCAGCAGCTAACAGACAGTGAAGTATCACTTTGGAGTTTTTTTTCTATGCAGATACATCTTTCTGCAAACCTGCAGAGAACTAGCTGTTTTTTGAACAGTCTATCTGCTGACTGAGTTGACACTTTAATAACTTCTCAGTCCACACATGCATGTCATTTCCTCAAGGATCTGTATTAAAGTGCCTACTACTGATATCCTTTCTTGCTCATATTAGACAAAATTTGTGGCAAATTTAACATTATTTTACAAATTACTTATTGTAGATCCAGACTTTAGAGCAGAACAGAACAATAGAAGAACTGAATAAGTCCCAAGGCAAATTGGAAAGAATGAAAGAAAAAGCTGAGAAACAACTAAATTCTGTCAAATCAGAACTTAATTTAAAGGAACAGCAAGCTACTGAAGAAAAAGAAAAAGCCAAAAATATGTTAGAAGTGGTTTCCAGTGAAATGAAGGTGCTTAAAACAACTCTTGCAGAACTAGCAAAAAGGGAAAGACAGGTAGGTATCCAGGTATTCTACAAGTGTTGGGTGTCACTTAGAACAAAAGAATGTGACGTAGGTGGAGCAGTTATCCAGCTGTGCTGACAACTTGTGTGAATAAGCAAGAGAATATTGACTAATGTGGCAGCAGTGATTCAAAGAAGCAGAGCTCTTGCAGTTTAAATGCAAGGGAATGAAAAGTAAATATATTGCTTCTTTGTCTTTGTGCGCTGCAAAACATTCAATTTACATCACGTTTTGGAGAAGTATAAAAATGCTTAAAAGTCCTAGTATCTTTAAAGTATTTTTCTGTATATTGTGGTGACAAAACCTGCTTACTTTTTACCAGGTTGTAGGGGAACTGCTGAGTCATGGCCTGAACCTCTGATTGATCACCTGAGGTGAGCAATGAGTCAGCCATGGGAGCACAGGTGAAGGCAATTCACCTGTGCTGCAAGAAGGGGTGGAGCCTTGCTCCACCTCTCCTAGACCCATTTAAGAGCTGACTACCAGTGGGGAAGGATCTCTCTTCTGGAGATCCACTCTGCTGGAGTTCTCTGAGCAAGCCCAGGGTACTGGTAAGCATCCTATTTATTCTCTTTGTCTTGCTTTTCCTAACTCTTTTGTTTATTTCATTATTATAACATTTTAATATTCTTTGATTATACACAGGTATATGCCACACAAAGGATTTTTTTCTTTTTAAGACAAGTGATATTGGGTGCAACTATTTTTAGTTGATTTGTGACACTTTTTTTTTTTTTTTTCAAAGTTTGAGTAGGAAAAACTTTTTGGTTACTTATCCATAAGAAACACAGTGAGTGTGTGTAAAGGTTACCAGGTACAAGAAATTGAAGTGGGAGGCATGCTAGTAAATGTGCTCCATAATAATTTCAGTAAATTAGGAAGTATGTGTGTAATTGCTCCATTGTATTCTGTTTAATAAAAACATAGTATCACTACTAAAGCCAATGGGATATTTAAAATGACATATTCCTGATGTTAAGTAAGATTCTAATCCCAGTTGCTTAGAACGTTGTCAGTTTTTCTACCTAAAATTTTTACATTAGTTTCTGGTCTTGACAACAATTCTGGATTATATTTAAGAATGCTTTTTCCAAAGATGAGTCTGAAAAAAATATTTCTTTACTCCTGTTGGAAATAAAAAAACAACTGAGGATTTTTCTGGAAGGGTTTAGCATTCTTGTTTTATAATGAATGTTGGAAATTTGGCAGGGAAACATCATTTCTTTGTTTGTCTCACGTGGTAGCTAAGCATCCTGCACACAGAAAAGGGCATTAATTATATTCAGAAAATTATACTGTGTAGTCATACATTGAGTACTTGTTAAAATTACACAGATGTTGAATTTGTACTGAGTAAACATGAGGCTTTTCAGGCCACTTGAATGCTATTGAAGTGTTCTTTGGCCAAATGTGGAAAAACATGGGAAAAGTGAGGTGGGGTACAAAATGCAGAATGCTCAAGCACAGCAAAGTACTAGCTCTTCATTAACCCAGAAAGCTTGAGGAGGAATATCAGCTTGTATTTCACTGATGTCTGTGGTCACCTGTGTCACAGGAATGTTTCAAACACTTGCAGGTGGAACCACCACACTGCTAAATGGGGATCAAAGCTGTTTGTAAAACCTGTGACTGATACTTGTGTAGCATTGATGAACATTAATGCTATTTTGCTAATAAGAGATCTGCCAGTAATATGCATAACGTACTCTCCTGCATCCTAACAGTTTACTTAGCTAAAATGTCTCCTTGAGGTAAATGTACTGTTGCCAAGTCAGATAATTATAAACTCTCTTGCTAATAAACACTTCAAACTTCTCCTGAAACATCACCCAAGGAGAGCACCTTCCATACCCCCAACTCAGTGTAGTTCTTTACCTGCTTTAGACTTGTTCATTCTTCCTTCCTGTGGACACTAAGCAGGGACAAAACTCTCTCTTGTTCTGTAAAAAGTGATGAATGCAGATGTTAAATTTTTCCTCTCAGCGCACATGCATATATGTAGTGAGAATATAAGCACAGTATATCTGAATGTGTATGTTAAGAAAGGTACAAGAAACTGAAATTACTGTTGCCTTATGGAACTGTTCATATGCCTAGGTTGACTTGTACGTGCATTCGAGTGTTTTTTTTTCCCAAGGATATAACTACATTTAATTTTGCATAATGTTGTAGTATTGAATTAGATATTTTCTATTATGTGAAAATTAAAAATATGCAGAACTGAGCTACTGCCAACTGCTTAAGACAACAATTGTTCTTGTGCCCAGAACGTACTCAAGCAAAAAATAAGGTTCAGGTTGGAGTAGTTGAAAATGAACTGGTACTTGGAATTGAACAGTGTTGAATGTTCTTCATTGTGCTTTAGACTAGTCTAAAGTCTGGAAGATGATAATAAATTAGGAGGAGCCATTGACTTCCTTATGGCTAGAGAGGTCTTGAAGAGACATCTTGACAAATTGGAGGGTTGAGCCATCACTGTATGATGTTTAAAAAGAGCAAGTGCTGCATTCTGCACCTGAGACAAGGCAGCAGGGATCCTTGTTGGATCCTTCCAACTAAAGATATTCTATGATTCCCGTTAAGTTGAAGAGGAAAAATTACCCTTGGTATTTCTGTATTTAACCAGTAATATGCTGATAAAACTGAATTTTCACAAGAAAAGTGCAAGATACTTCTGGGTGAATGGCAATGCCAATTTCTAGGAAGGTTTCAATAAAAGATCTTCAGCAGAGGTAATGAAGCCTATTTTAAATAATGTCTTTTAAGGTAGAATGAACAGACATACGGAATTAACAAGCTTGAAAGGAAGAAAGCAACAACAAAACACTGAAAACTTAGGCCAAAACTTTGGATTGGAAAGGAGACTTTTTAACATTGTGGGTGGAAAGCTGGGATAACCTTGTCAAAGTTTATTGAATTCCTCTTCTTTATGCTAAAGATTTGAAATGTTTAAGACTTCTGTGCGTTGTTTTTAAGGATGAAATACTTTTCTTATTTGTTTTCTATGTCCTCATATGGTTTAATACAAGCATTTAAAATTGTTCATAATGTACTTGCAGCATGGCATCTGCATAAGAGTATAAACATGCACCTTGCTTCACGTACAACACATGATAGGTTATAAAAGATCATCCAGCGTGTATCTTCTGTCGCTCTAGTTCATAGTTTTTAAAATAAGATTTATGTCCCCTGGCTGGGCATTCCTATGTCTAAGAGTGCTGGCACTATTTGTCAGTTTGCGTGAGAATTTCTCTTTGCAGGTAACCTGTTTGCTACATTTCCATAGACATTTTTGTTTTTGAGACAGTGTTGTTCTGTTAATGTGGGAAAAAAAAATCCTCAATTTTAAGTTCACATAAATGAATGACTTAGAGGATTTTTAGGGGCTCTGTGTTCTTTCTTGCTGAGGCTATTTGCTGATGAAAGTTGCTGAATTCTCACCAGGTGTGTTGTTCATTCGCTATAGTGAATAAAAATAAATTATCTTTGACTGGAGCACTACACTGCATATTTCCTGACTTGGAGTTTGGGAACTTGAAGTTCCAATAGATAAGCATATAAGCATATTTTCTTGAAAAGTAAGATTTTCCTCTTTTAATTATATATGGATAATAAGGGTTGTTAAGGTATCGATCATCTGGGTGGTGTAATTTAACAGAACATTTAATAGCTATTGAAATGTGACTTATAAGCTGCCTTTTCCTGAGCTAAGTAAATCAGTGTTCCTGCTTGTTTGCTCTTCATGTTTTTGCCTTTTTATTGTCACAGCACTTAGTGATGATATTTACTTGTGGATTGTCTATCCATTAGGAACTGATGAAACTGTTTTCTCTAAGTACCTTGCCAAACTTCCTTCACATGATATAATTTCAGTAGCTACGTACGGAAGAGCTATGCATTTATTTCCCAGGTTGCTTGAATTTTTACTCCATCCTGATTCCAAGTTGAAGTGAGATACAGAGGTGTGCAAAGCCTCCGCCTTTCTTCTTTCTTCTTCTGCTGTCATTTCCACAATGAAGCTGTGGTAGTGAGAGGTTGGGGACCTAAGGTCAGGACCAGTACCTTCTTACATGCTATGATACATGGCTGCTAGTTTCCAGTTGTCTGTATAGTTAACTAGACCAAATACAGCTCCTCTTCCTATCAGTTCCTCAGTTTTCTCTATTTAATGAGCAGGGAAGATGTATCTGTGAAGGATACTAAATAACACTTGAAATTGTGTGGCTTTTTTTTTTAAATCCTTAGCATCTCAGCTCTTGTTTCATTGTTTGAAGTATCCCCTAAGGGGCCATTTCTGTCCTTTTCAGCCCTCTGCGTTGATGAACAGCAGAAATTTCAATATTTTGCACTGCTACTATAAATGCTTGTGTTTGTATGTATGCACATGTGTACGGGTTTTTCCATGTGTTCTTGTTCTTGGTAATTAATGCATTAGTAATTCCTCTCTGTTTGCTCTTGCAGCTGGCAGACTTCCGAGAGGTCATCTCACGGATGCTGGGTCTTGATCTTTCCAGCCTAGCTCTGCCTGATTATGAGATCATTACACGCCTGGAAGGGCTGATTCACTTTCATCAGCACCATTTTATCCCCTGTGTCTGTGTCAAAGATGTAACAAGGACAGAAGATGAGCACTTGGATAGAAACATACAGTTTCTTAATTGAAACAAACATTTTTGAGGAAACTAAAGTCATTTTTTCTTCTTCCCTGTCTAGACCAGCATAGAAAATAGGTCTTTATTTTTGTTCCCTCTTCTACAGATACTTGGGCTGATTTTCAGTGTTTCAGTAGAGACTTTGAGCATAATGGACAGTGAACAGCCAGCCTAGGGAGAGCAAACACAAAAATCCCTGGGCAGCATAATATTTCAGACATGAAAATGATGGGCAATATGTGAAAAATGAACAGCTTTCCAATTCCAGTGCAGAGCCACTGATGGCATGAGCCACCTGAGATCTGTTAACAATTTGGGCAAATACTTGCTGGTGAACATCAGCTTCTGTGATGTTCCTTGTGCTTTACTTCTTGTGATGAAATGAAGTGGGGGCCATCCAGTTGCTATTTCTTTTGCAAAATGGGACTTCTCTGTGCATTTTTATGCATAAGAACTTCAGTTTCAAGTCACCTGGAAAACTGGCTGAGGGCTATCAGGGTTTTGGAAAAAGGGATTTTTTTTTCTGTCATTTTTTCTCTTTAGCCTGCTCTTGAGTAAGAACAAAAAGTTATGCTTTTTCAGTAAAGGCTCTTTTACAGACTCCAGTCATATGCCTGGCATAGATATATAGTAAAATTATCTATAGTAAAATTGCATGTTGCCTTTGATCATGACACTTTGAAAGTTTCTTCTACTTGCTGTGTTCCTTGGACAATTAATCCATGAGCCAAATAAACGTCAGTTCTGACTTAATACAAAGGTATTAAGAATACCCTCATCCATTACAGAAAATAGTTTCTAGTCTTGATTTTTCAGAAAAGCCCAGTTGATATGACCAGAATTATCTTTTAATCATGAAAGCTGCTTGTCTAATACCCTTTCTGATTGTTAAACTTCATGACTTTAAGACTTTCAAACAATAAATATATTTTAGTAGTACACTCAAAAATGATTCCGTGTTTTTAGTTGTCTCTTCCCATTATATACATTATATATTTCATGTGGATAGGTAGAACAGTAAAGATGACTTACCTTATGTATGTATGACCATGGTGCACTTCCTACAGTATCTCAGCAAATAATCATTCACTAAAACTGAGCACTTTACTAAGACAAATGAGACTTTAATTTAAAAAACAAACAAACAAAAAAACTTAAATAATTGAGATCTGGCTATGAACTTGGAATATTCTAGATTGCTTTTATTATTATATCTCTGAAGAATCATTTCTCAGTGACTTGGCTTAAAAAAAAAAAAACACACATGAAAACATCCATTCTTTTGTGTCATCAATGGTTTTTAGGAAATGTAATAATTTATCTTTATGCTCCTGTGTCTACTTGGATTAAAGTCAGTTCTCTTTCTTGTTTTAGGATGCAACCTTGTTTTTCAGGTAGAGTTTAATAAAAGGAGTAATGACAAAATTGAGTAGGCTTAAATTTATGAAAGCACTGCTTTCCGAGTACAATAAATTGAAATGTAAATACTTTTAGGCATCCTGGAAAAGGATGTAGTAATTTGCTAATTACTTGAGAAAATACAAGTGTGTGTTTTGCTGATTCTTAGGGCATTCTTCTATTATTGTAAGTAACCAACCAGATGTTTCTTCACATATGTTAAAAGTAAAAATATATATATATATTATCAATTTGTACACACTTAATAAATTGCATTAAGAAATTAGGTCCAGTCAGTCCAGATACAGCTGTAACTTTAATAGTCTCTGAGCTCGCAAATCCTAAAGTATGTATGCATATTTGGCTGTAATTGATGGTTAAGTTAGATGACTTCCTAATGTCTGCAAAGAGGCTTCCAATCTGCTGCCATGTGCCATGCTCCTGTATCCTGCTCTCCCATGACTGCTGTGGCACCAGCTGTCACCTTCAGCCCCTCCGGAGCTGCCAGCAAAGTTCTCCCAGTTACTTCAGAGGAGGTGGGTATTCACATGAAGCTGATGATAGCAAAGCTTGCTTACTGTCTTCTATGTTATGTCAGCAGAAAGTAGAATAAGGGCTTTTTTATAGTTTAGCATTCCTATTTCAGAAAATAGGGATGTAATGTAGTTCATCAAGGACTATAAGCTCTCAGCTGATTGTTAATATATTAATAATGCAAATGTATATTTACATTACTTTTGGAAGAGCACTGACATCTTTGTTCCCTTATCCAAAGCAAATAGCAGAAAATAGTTTGACATGAACAAAGTTCAGGTGATTTTTGGCCCATGTAATGTAATTAACCACTGATCGAAGTTAAAACTGACTTACAAATTTCTTTTTTAAGGTTTGTTTCATACAGTTTGTTTTGAAGGTAGTCATCCTTGGGGAAAAATTAACATTTGACTCACACATTTTCTTTTTTAAACCAATGAGAAAGTTGTTTGCCAGCATGAACACAGTTTTAACTGCATCATTATTATTAATGGGTTTGTTTCTATCAATTGCAAGTATGGGATAAAGAGTTTATCTTAACTTCTCTTTTGCTTTGTTAGTTTGCTTTTGCTTTTACTGGAAACACAAGTTAAAAAATTGTAATAGAGACAGTTGATAGAAAAATTCTCCTGGACACTGTATTCTCCAAAACTTAAGCCATATAAAATAGAAGTATATTTTCAAAACTACAAAAGTTGACCATAAAAAAAATAAAAATAATGGAGAAATGGAACAAAATGAATTGGAATTAACTGTGGCTTCAGAAAAGAAAGACCTCTTATTTGGCTTCCTGTAATCCAGTAATATCACAGTTTATTTAAAATGACTTAACTGTGCGTGGAAAATAAAATTGGCAGGAATGTTCAAACAGATTTTCAAATGGTAGATTTCAGATTACTTTGTTCTTTTGTTGGAATAAGCAAGAATCCTGCAGAGCAGTGTTTGTTTTCTGGAAGGAATGAATGATGAGTTTATAAAACTGTACTCATTATTATTCAAGAATAAGTGAGTCAGAAATAAAAATCTGTAAATGACAATTTTGCCTGAACAACAACAACAAAAAAATGACTTTTCTGATAAGCTTAAAATCAACATTAATGAGCCATAAGGCAAAGAACGACACTTGTTTTGAGATAAATAAAGCTGCTGATAAGCATTTGCTAAGTTTTTATTCCCCCTGATTGCTTACAATTTTGGTATGTAGGAGAAATAAGGAAAATAGTATCGCATCTGTCAGCAAATGAGGTTTGAGCTGTTCTATCCCAAGTAGAGAAATCCATTGTTAGAGGGCTTGTGCTGTTCTGAGGATGATAGTAGAGATGGTGGGGGCTAACTGAGCTGCAAGCTGGGACCTGTAGAATATTAGACACTGACTGAGCGTATGTAAAGAGATATTTTTGTTAATTGATGAGGCGTGAATTCACTATGGAAGATAAGCTTGGTTTTCCCTTGGAAATCATGAGGCTGTCTGTTAAGCGTGGTTCCTGACCTGGCAGTGTTCCCACTGGGCAGTGGATGGAGCCCACAGATGAGGATGATCAGTTCAGGCTGTGTGGCTGGGTATGGATCTGCCTCCCTGCCTGATGGCAGCCATGCGCAGCGCTGCTCTTGGGCCATGTGTGGCAGCTCTGGTTACAAAACAAATGTGTGCGGCAGCATCTGTTGGGTGCCGGATGGTCTTTGGTGTTTACATGAAGAGAGTGCTGCGCCAGCAGAGCTGACTCAACATTTTCCCCTCCTGGCCAAGTTTCCGTACCATGGAGAGTAATGAGGCTGTGGAGAGAGGCCAGGGTGAAGTGATGAAGTGACAGCAGCAAACAGATGCAGATGTTTGTGAAGTTGTCCATGGTCACTTTTATAACAGAAGTACTATGGCCACTAGAGTAGGTGAAGGAGCCCTGCAGGTTGTGGTACGAAAATCCCTTAGAGCCTTCTTAGGAGATTGGTCTGAGCCACACTGCACAAAGCAGTGCTAGACTACTGCTAAAATTATTGTGGCATCACTGCTGCATAAACATTTTGATATTGCTTGATTTTACATGCGCTTATAATAATACTTACGTAGTGTCACTCCAGTGTGCAACTGCCTTAGCTAGGTCTGGAAAATATGGATTGAGAACAGTCGATCAGAAGATGGACAGCAGTGTTTGGGAGTGTCCATTAGGAATGAAGGGAACTTGTGAGGTTCATGCAAACCTGAAGTCATTGGTGATTTACAGCTGCTTTTGAGGGTTTGTGGAAGGATGGGTCAGTGTTTGAGATGCATCTTGCAGGAATGGAGCTGAAATGGATTGACTTCGTGTGGCTGAAAATATACTTGAAGATGACTTCCCTCTTTTACTATGAGCAACTGTTCATTGCAACAGTTCAAACTAGCAGGCCTGAAATGCTGTGAATCAAAAAAGAATAAATATTTAAAAAAACTGTCAGTAAACAGAGATGCATTTAGGCTGATGACCTAAGCAGAAAATAATGTTATGAGTTCAGTGTTGCCCAGAATAAATATTTGGTGATAAATCTTAACTGCAAAGAACTTCTGATCTGCAGATAGGCTTTGGGATAGAAATAGGAGAAGCTGGAAACCCTTGGAGTTCTGCCCTTGGTGCAGAAGGAAAAAGGAAAGCTGGAGCAGGAGGGAGGTGGAGACCTGTCTGAGGACTGTGGCCCAGTGGGAACGTGAGGTGAGGCAAGCAAGCCTCCCTTCAGCTTCATGAGGCTGGAGGAATGGCAAGGACTGTGTTGCTGCTGAGAGCTGGCCCATTCACATGCAACGTGCCTTAATAGCAAGGATAGAGATTCTGTATCCCCCACTAAATATCCACTTTTTTTTTTAAGAATGGCATTTTTAGTCTTAAACAGTGATTTTCAAATGTTGCTAATGTGTTTTTTTTTTTTATACTGTCTTTGTGGTGTGAGAATCAGAGAATGTATTCCTCCAAAAATGTTTCCTCTCTGTTTTTCCTAAGAAACACCTGACTGGCTAGAGAGTTCAGTTTACATCCTTGTTTATAGCATCAGTATCATTGCTTGCAACACAATTTGATGTTTCTCTTTACAAACCTTGGCTTTTATATATTCCCCCCCTGTGTCATTGCTGCCACTGTAAGCCTTATATGGCATTAATGCTTGGCGGCACTGCAGTTGTCTGCTGCACCCCATGGTGGCAGGGCACTGGGCTGAACCACCCTGCAGTGCTGATACCTGCCTGCCTGCTCGGGCTGCCAGGGAATAAATCTCCTAGAGGCATAGCTACAGCACTGATTATTCTATTTGAAAAATGGCAGTGTGTTCAGAGGGTGACTGCTTCTGTGAGACAATTGTGAAGGACAATTGCCCTTCCCACTGGAAGAAATTCTGACCCGTCCCATTCCAGTAGTGGCCGAAGGTGGGGAGAAGCGAGAGCATGAAGATGTCGTAGGTGTCATGCATGGCTGCTGCCTCAGTGAATCTGCCTGGCTTTGGTTCATTGAACAACTTAATTGAAATTCTCATTTCAGTAAGTTATTCGTTCCAGAAGGTCTGAGGAGCTGAGAATCTTATGTCTCTCCTCTGTGTTGGAGAATTTTTTAAATAGTTTCTAAATGAAACAGGATGCTCTTCCATGAAAGATAGTTATAATGACACTGTCACAAAGACTTGCTCCACGAAACAAACTGTTAAATTTCGTAAGTTAACGCTGCTTGCAGGAAGAAAAAATAATTAAAAATAATTACCACACATCCTCATCAGCATCACCTCACAAAATATATAATTGCAATTTGTTCTGCTCCTTTAAAAAGGAAAATTTCATGAATGTTAAAAATTCTTCCCTTTTACAAATGCCAGTGTTCTAGTAGACAGATATTTCCTGTTTGCCCACCTAAATCCTGCAACTTAGCCATCTTCATTGTAGTTACACATGTGTTTAATGGCTTAACGCTTGTGTAATGCTTTGTGAATATCATGATTTACCTTTTAAAATGCGTAGGAGATATTTTGTTACGTACTTTGGACTTTATTCATGTTAATCTTTTTTTGTGTGAGCTTA